CTGTGCCACGCACCCAGCCTGTCCGTAGAGCCTCTTAGCAGGATTACCCCACACGGTGGGCACGCTACCTCCGTGGCATTAGCGTGTCCTCCCGGCGCCCCTGCGTGGTATCACGCACAGCAGGAGCAGCCTCACGGCATGGCTCACGCTGCAGCTCTGGGAAACACCCCCCAGCGCAGAGGGACAACGTGGGGACAACAGCCTGAGAGAAATTTGGGGAGAATGACCTGCAAAAGGCTGCTCCCTGCCTCAGTTTCCCTCCCTATCAGCCTGAATTGGTTCTTTTCCCAGTCAAACATCCCCAGCACCGTGAGGGGCAATGCGAGGTGCCTCTGCTCTCCATCACATAGAGGATGTGGCAATGCCACACAAGCCTGCGGTGTCCCGAGGTGCCCCGGGTGCTGCAGTGGATGAGGTGGCAGGGCCAAGGTGGTGGGTGCAGGTGAGAGCGGTTGCCCCCACGCCCGTTTTGTAAGAGGCGTAAGCGGCTCAGCAGATTTACTCCTGAGCTGAGTGTGACCCTGCTAAGCTGCCAGCAAACGCCCGCCCGGGCACCGGGCACTGTGCGGGGACAGCCCTGACACCCGCACCCCCACAGGGCAACCAAGCCCCCTCCTGGGTCTCCGAGACCACCACCCCTTCCCAAGGAGCATCTGCATGGCCAGACAGGTCCAGGGCTGATTTGCAACCAGCTTTGAGCCCCTTGGGTGGAAATAACGCATGGGCAGCTCCCTCCAGGGTGGATCTCAGGTCCCCAAACCCTGCCATGTCCCCAAACCCTGCCACGTCCCCCAACCCACGGTTAATCTTGGCCTTCTGCTTAGGAAAGTTAAAGCGGCTCAGAGCAGGGCTAGATGATCACCCAGATTAAGGACTTAGAGGTACCACCACAGCCAGCTCAGCATCTCAGCTCGGGGCTGGTGGGTCAGCGTGTCAGTGTGTCAGTGAGTCAGCACATCATGCACACGCGTGTGCACCGCCTGCACACACACACACACACACACACACACACACACACACGTCTGTGGAAACACCACAAGTGATGTTGGCAAAGGAAAATGTGACACATGGCATCTTTGTAGGGTGCCTCCCTGCTCATCCTCAGAACAGGGAGACCCCCATGCACATCCCTGTGCTCTTACCCAAAATCTACCCCTGCAGCTTCCAGCACGTGTGGGGGGGCACGGACACTGAAAAGGCGCCCCACACTGAAAAGGGGCTGGGGCAGTGCCCAGGACAGGTGGAGATATTTGGGGGAGCGTGGGCAGTGCCCCCCTGCAGCCCCGGGGGGTGCCCGCTGCCGCTGGCTGATGAAAGCCGCCCTTTGTCCGCTTGCAGGGGGCAGCACAGGGCCAAGCTGGGAAAGCAAAGTGGGTTTGTCCCCAGATAAAAGAGTCCTAAATTGAGCTTTGAGCGGGTGCTTGTGCAACAGGGAGCCGGGTCAGCCATGTGGGATCCCAGAGGGATGAGCAGGGGGCATCGCCTCCCGCTCCAGAAGCTTCCCACCCCAAATTACACGGGGAGACTCCATCACCCACCAGCACGGGCACTGCCAGACTCTATGGGAATGAGACCAGGGTCACTGGGTGGCGTTTAGGGGAGCACATGAGAAGGGATTTGGGAGGTCAATGAGATGTGATTTAGGGTACAACCGCTGGTATTTGCAGTGAGTGCACAAGATTTAGGGTGGCTGTTGCTCGTTGTTTGAGGTCACCTCCCCAGGGCCAGCATCTCCAGGGCTGGAGTGTTTTCAACTCCATTTGGGATCACCCCAAACAGAGATCAGCATCTTCAGCACCTGCCCTGCTGGGAAACAGCTTCTTTGACCTTCCCATTACAGCCCACTCCTCCCCAGCCCCCAGCAAGGTGGTACCCAGATCCCAGCCCCATCCCTGTGTCCCCCATCCATAGGGAAGAGCCCCTTGCATAGCCCTGTTCACAGGGGGTCTGTGTGCAGCACTCAGGGAGCCCAGCACCACCCCAGGGACCCCAGCACCACCCCAAGGACCCCAGCACGGCAGCATCCTCACAGCCAGAGCCTGCAGGACCTGGGCTCAGATGGGGACCTTCCACCCCACCATCACCATTTCCTCCCATCCCATCCACACAGGCGGTGCCAGGAGAAAGCAGTCGGAACCTGGATGTTGCATTTCCACCCATTTATTGGGGAAGCCGCACCAAAGTATTGAAAATAAATTAAAAGCTGGGGCTGTGTGGGTGCGTTGCGTACGTGAGCATCGGGAAGGCAGAGTGGGATCTTCAGTAGAGAGATGGGTGGGCAGGACGGGGCATCAGGGAGTCCCAATGGCTGCAGAAACATCTACGGTAAAAGTAGTAATAGCTGCAAAACTAGAGGTACAAAAAGGATAATAAAACCTGTACCTTCAGTATGGTCTTAAAGGCAACGTCTGAGTCAGAGCTCCTGGTACGGAGGCACTGGGCTGGAAGAGACCTGATCAGTGAGGGAAGGAAATCACCAACCCAGGGAAATGAAAGGAGACACGGTCGTCCTTCACAGCTCCATGCCATTTTGGGAGCAGAGAACTGTCCTATCGTTGTGGTTTTGGGGTTCCTGACAAAGTTATCCCCTTCATCTTCATCTTCTAGGCCTGTTACATGTGCCTTATTCCACCCATCCCCAACAGCAGCCCCAGATTTGATGCAGAAAGATTTCCTGCAGTGGGTGAGAAGAGTGGGAGCTGCCTCTTGTCCTTCCGCTTCCCACCTGGAGGAAGCAGCCCCATCCCCACATCCCCCTCTGCTCTCCAGGAGGCCAAATCCCAAACCATCACCAGATGCTCTGAATGTGAGCAAAGCGGGGCTCCCTCACCCTACACACAGGGGGTGACACGATCACCCAAAATGTGAGATCGACCTGGAACCAGAGGGATGCTGACAGGGCAGGGATGTCCAGAGCCACCAACCACCCCAGCCCAGATTTGGGCAGTCTGATGTGGCCTTGGCTGTGTCCCACACATCCCCAGAGACCCCCTGCTCCCTTCAGTGAGACCTTCATCCTCCCTCCCTCCCAGCCTTTCCAAAGGGGTCCATTGCACCACGGCCTGACTCCAGCTCCCCCCACCCCACACCAGACAGTCCTGGAGAAAGGGGGGTCCTCGGCACAGCTCCCTCAACCCTAGCTACAACCACAGGCATCAACGATCATGTCAGGGATGTCCGTCTTGACGATGTTGCTATTGCGATCGAAGTAGAGGACAGAGAGCGGGCGGCGACGCGTGGGCACGCAGCAGGAGTGCCCTGACGCCTGGATGTTGTTGGCTTTGACGAGGTTGAAGACGGCCGTGTGGAAAGAGGAGGCCATCCCTGGGCTGCCTGCCACGTGCAGAGGGCACTGGCCCACACAGTAATTTATCTGGTAGCCCTCGGGCTTGATGATCCAGTCGTTCCACCCGATGTCGCGGAAATCCACGTAGTAGTCCTTGAGGCAGCACAGGTTGGAGTTCTGGCTGCAGCGGAGGCTGCGCTTGGCCATGCGGTGTCCTGGCTCCCGCACCTTTGCCTCGGCCACCAAGAAGGGCTGGTGGGACTGGCTGGCATTGACTATGGCCATGATATCCCTCCCGGCCCCACGGCTTTCCAGCTCCAGCCGCAGGGTCCTGCGCTCTCCCACGAAGAAGCTCTGCAGGGCGCCAGCCGCTGCCCTTGGCGCTCAGTCGCCTCTCGCTCAGCAGCGTGCGGTTGCCCCCCGCCACGTCGCCTTCCCCACCGGCCAGGAAAATTCGCAGGGTGAGGCTGACTGCCAGGTCTCGGGGAACGCGGAGGTAGAGCCAAAGCTGAGCCTGCAGGATGTGAACGTCCTGGTCTTGCGTACGGCTGAACTGGAACCGCAGCCCCAAGCCAGAGGGAGATGTGGACTCTGAGAGGAGAAAGGGAGGAGGAGGTGAATGCTGCAGGATGCCAGTGGAGGTCAGGCTGCACCGCCATCCTGCACATCAAGGTCAATCTCTTTCAGCTTCTTCTCACGAAAGACCTGCAAACTTCCCTTCCTCCGCAGGGCTCTCGGTCTGGTCCCCTCCCTCCCTTGGAAAGGCCACCCGGAAAGGGGCAGCGTTGGGATCAGAAACTGTCCCCCCCTGCCTGGCAGAACGGGCACAGAAGAGGGCACCTGGCACTTCTGGTCCCTTTCCCTTTGCTGCACAGTGCAAAGCTGGAGGTGCTTCCAGCCCTGCTCCCCACTCCTGACTCCTTGCAGCTGCCAAACTCAGCCTCTGCGAGCCTC